TTGCTTTGTCTCTTGTAGGTTATTCTGGTGAGCTGTTCTATCTCAACCATAAACCCACACGCTGAACTGTCTTCTCTTTTTAGTTTTCTCTTCTATCTATCTATCTATCTATCTATCTATCTATCTATCTATCTATCTATCTATCTATCTATCTATCTATCTGTTTATCTATCTATCTAACTATCTGTCTATCTATCTATCTATCTATTTATCTATCTACCTATCTATCTATCTATCTATTTAATTGGTTCCTATTGACTTTTTGTGCATTCAGATTAGCTACACAAGTGAGTACACATATGCGCACGTGCGAGCGCGTAAACACACACATTCAAACTCTCGTGCACACGTACTCACACTCAAGTTCATGCTCACAAACGATCATACCATCTCAACAGCATAATTACAATATTCGACATAAACGAACAGACGTTACGATGTTTGTGTGAGTGGTGCCTTTTACACACGTGCGTGCATGAGTATGTAAGTGTGTAAGTGTGTACATGTGTGTGTATGTATGTAATACAAGGTGGGGCCCAAAGTCATCCTTCAGTCCCGATTAAGCCAACATTCCTGAGCTCTAGCTCAGCCTGGAACTTTCCCGAATCACTTACCTGCGCCAGGTACCTGGTGTTGTGGGGGCGGCAGAAATAGAGGGGCAGTTAGGGGAGGGGGGGGTGAGAAAGGCGGGAGTGAGCTAAATATTGTAAAGAAAGAAAAAGAGAGGACAGAAAAGGTCAGGATCAGGGAGGATGAGGAGAAAGGGGAAGAGGAGGGGATTCAGATGTAGTAGAGGAGGTGAGCGAGACAGGGAGAAAAGAGTGAAAGAAGGAAGTGTGTAGAAGGAGGAGAGGAGAGATGGAGCAAGTTAAAGATAGAGAAAGGAAAAGAGAGCTAGAGAGTGTGAAAAAGCGGGAGAGAGAGAAGTAGAAGGAGAGAGAGAGAGAGAGAGAGAGAGAGAGAGAGAGAGAGGGGGATGGAGAGAGAGGAGAGGAGAGAGGGAAAGTAGAGGGAACGAAAATCAGTCCCAGTGCAGAAAATGAAATGGAAATAAATTATGTGGGGGGAAAAAAAGAAGTGGGCTTGCAAGCACACGACGGGTGCAATCTGGAATAGAAATGTGCACCTTACGTTAGCTTTTCCTTATCGGCAACCAACGAAACCTGCCAGCCTCTCCTTTTTCCACTCAAACATAACCAAAGCGTATAAAAAATGCCTAACTCATGACTTTTCTATTTATATACATAAAAACAGACACGTAAATACAAGCACAAACAGCCTGCATGAGAGAAGGGGGAGGAGGAAAATAAGTTTTCTGACAAAAATTTCTTGGCACCTTTCCTCCCAGACATCCCCTGTCGTTCTATTTTTCCAGCCGAAAATGCTTGTTGCCATAGCAACCTTTCTATATACAGACTTCGATGACACAGTCTTATCTCTTCTTCAGGTGCAACTTTAGCTGAAACAAGAAGGTAAATTGGAACAATAAAAATCCTGCCAAAGGAAAAACATTACAGTAAAAACCGCTCACACAAACGAGCGAAGGGTAAACTTTATTGTGCTTAAATTGCTCAAAGACCGAACGAGTGAGGCGTCTCCTCGAGAATGTTTAAAAAACACGCAGGGTAAACGTTCCCTGAAATCTCATACTTTAATCTCCCACTCATAAACACCCCCTCATCTCTCTTTAGATCTTTCCTTTGTGCACACACCTACACACAAACACGTAGACACAGACACCCAGACACACACAGACACCCAGACACACACAGACACCCAGACACACACAGACACCCAGACACACACAGACACC